AAAAAAATATTAAATAAAAAATTAAAATAAAAAAAGACATACCCAAGGCATCAATAAAATAATTCTTCTGAAGACGAGGAAGTTAACTGATGTGATCCTTTTAATTTTCTACTAACTCAAAGCAAATGAAATCACAATTGGTGGTGTACCAAACAACTTTCTGTGTCTAAAATGCAAAAATCGACTCAATTCCATAAATCTTCTGGTCTTTAACAATTTTGCAAAAAAATTTTCATTCTTTGCATTCCTCTACAAAATGCTAAATTCCAATTACTTAATAAGTTTAAAACAAAAAAGCAATTTTTCCACAGTCCTTAGTTGTAGTAACCAGTGAACAAAATACGACCAAAGCTCTACCGTATAGCAAAGACTAGGAAGACATTAAATGCTAATGGTTAGTTTTTACTATTTAAAGGAGAACGGACTGGATAGGGATACATAGCTGACATTCACAAAACTTTAAGCCATAAATGAATTCTAATTCTATAAGACCTAAATTTTCCTTCAATATAGTCAGTAATGTTTTAAGGCTTACCTTCTTCTGTTTCTACTGGCTGTTGAGACAGAATTTTAAGAAGAACTGGGTTTTTCCACACTCCTTCCTTGGTAACATGAACCAATATTTGTAGGTTATTATTCCCAAATTCCAATAACGCATCATGTGACTCCTAGAGCAAAAACAGCATATCCAGAAAACAGGCTAATAAGCAATATAAAACATAGTTTTGCCTTTTCAATGTACCTGAATGTCTACAAAAGGAACCTGGATTTCCAAAAAAGAAATAAGCAGGAAAAAAAAGAACTGTCCTCAAAGCTTTGCGAATTCTGTTACTGCTTTTTAAAAAATGAAACAAGCGGGGCACTTGGGTAGCTCAGTCAGTTGAACGTCTAGCTCTTGGTTTCAGCTCAGATCATATCTCACAGTTGGTGAATTTAAGCCCTTGCTGACAGTACAGAGCCTGCTTGGAATTCTCTCTCCCTCCCTCTCTCTGCCCCTACTTTTCTCTCTCTCTCTCTGTCTCTGTTTCTCTCTTTCTCAAGATAAACTTTAAAAAAATGAAACTAGGGTGTTTTCACTAAGTTAAAGAGCACCTTTAAAATGTGTTCCTAGGGGCGCCTGGGTGGATCAGCTGGTTAAGTGCCTAACTCTTGATTTCAGCTCAGATCATGATCTTGCAGTTTGTGGGTTCAAGCCCCATGTCAGGCTCTGTGCTGAGAGTGTAGAGCCTGCTTGGGATTCTCTCTCCCTCTCTTTCCCTCCCATGCTCACATACTTTCTCTCTCAAAACAAATAAACTTAAAAAATAAAATGTTTTCCTAAATTATCCTTAGGTAAAATTATCACCATAATTCAACTTACAACCTCACATTAATAAATTATTTTATTAGAAAAAATTTTTTTAATTTTTATTTATTTTTGAGAGAAAGACAGAGTGTGAGCAGGGAAGGGGCAGGGAGAGAGGGAGACACAGAATCTGAAGCAGGCTCTAGGCTCTGAGCAGTTGGCACAGAGCCTTATATGGGGCTTGAACTCACAAACCATGAGGCTCACGAACCATGACATCCTGAGCTGAGCTCAAGTTGGAGGCTTAACTGACTAAGCCACCCAAGTGCCCAATTACTAAATTATTTTAAGGTCAATTAACAGCTTTCTTTTAAAGGCTTCCACAGTATTCACAAGGCACTTCGGTGGCTCGGTTAAGCATCAGGCTTCAGCTCAGGTCATGATCTCGAGGTTTGTTGAGTTCGAGCCCCACATCAGGCTGTCAGTGCAGAGCCTGCTTCAGATCCTCTGTCTCCTTCTCTCCCTGCCCCTTCCCCGCCTTCAAATTCTCTCTCAAAAATAAATAAACATTAAAAAAATTTTTTAATAAATAAAGGATTCCACGGTATTCACAAAGACAACCTATTCCTTCTAATAGAAATATTAACTTAATGATGCCAAAGGATAAATTTTTTCATTGTTTAAATTCTTCTATCGAAAGACTTTTTAGGGGTGCCTGGGTGGCTTAGTTGGTTAAGCGTCCAACTTTCGCTTAGGTCATGATCTCGCGGTTCGTGGGTTCGAGCCCTGCATCGGGCTCTGTGCTGACTGCCAGCTCAGAGCCTGGAGCCTGTTTCAGTCTGTGACTCCCTCTCTCTCTGACCCTCCCCTGCTCACGCTGTCTCTCTCTCTCTCTCTCTCTCTCTCTCTGTCTCTCTCTCTCTCTCCTAGAAATAAATAAAACATTAAAAAAAAATAAATTAAAAAAAAAGACTTTTTAAATGAAAAGTGGCTCTATAGAAAATGTCGTGGAAAATCTAGGTTATCAGCTATCATTCTATCTCCTCAGAAAACAAAATATAATTGCAACAGTTTGTTCTTTAAAATATTTATGTACACAAAGGGTCAGGAGAAAGAGGTCAGAAATTTAATTTGACATAAATGATTAAATATGCGTCTCCACTGTCCACTAATCCTGGTGAGGATTATTGGTTGTTCCATAGTCTAAAATTTTAATGTGTTTTTCTGTTATTTAAGGTCTCCCTTCCTCTCTGCCCGTTCCCTGCTCTTCCTCTCTCTCAAAATAAATAAACTTTTTTTAAAAAGTTGCAAAAAACAGGATTGAAGTTTTGTTTATTCGAAAATCCATTTCAGGGTGTATTTTCATATTCTTAGGCAAAAGATCTGGAAGGGTTACACAAGCTGAAAACAGGGAATAAGAGTGTTCTATTTGTGGCCTGCTCTGATAACAACTATTCTCTTACCAGAAGTTTCCTAAAACCATCTGTTGCCTTGTTCATTTATCACTAAAATAAGAAAACTTCAGGGTTTTACCTTTTAGTTTTCAACAAGGACCATGTCTTACATTTATTGTACCTCTACTATATTTATTTTATTGAACACATATTCAAAAATATATCCTGTATGATAAATACTGGGAAAAGATACACAGGTAGAGGGAAAAGGCAAGTATTTTGTGCAGGCATACAATCTAAGGGAAGAATGAAGAAATATGACAGTATTCTCTGTATAGAGGATACTAATACAAATAATAGCAATAGCCCTAACAAGAAAAAGATGTGCCCTTCTAGACTGTTGGATGCCCATACAAAACTACTGGCAGGCCTCAAAACACAGTGTGACAAAATCGATGTGTTATGTATGAAAGGTGACTTTAGCAGCTATATGAATATGTAAGGAATTAAACCACATTATAGGGATTAAAACAGGCTGAGGACCTGAGGAAAAGAAAATCCTCTTTTCCCCAAAAAGAAAAAATTAACACTGTATCATTTTATTTTGGGTTATATATCCCAGAGGAAAGAAACTGCCAGATAATGAAGTACGTCTGTTAATATCCAAATCTTTACCTGTGCCTACATGAAACAGGTGTCGGCTACTACAGAGTTTATGTCCTCGAGGAAGCAGTGAACAAAGCAAGCTCTGCGTACAAATCTGGGTGTAACTCTGGGTAAGCTAATCAACACTCTCTATGCCTGGTCTTCCTATTTGTAAATGGAGATGCAAATGATCATTACACTACAAGGCTTGTAATTTGATTAAAAGACACAAAATACATAAAACATTGTACAGCAGTATTTGGTACATAGTGATAAACCATTCTTTAAAAAACAGTTTTTGTCTCTATCAGTAACAGGCAAATTGGCCTCCTGTTACTTGCCTTTTACTTGCTTTTCCTCCTATCCTATGCTGTCCTCCACAACTTGTTACTTTCTGATGTGCTCACCTTTTAAAAAAAGCTGATAATCAAGCCAATATGAGAGCCAATGGAGCTCTTCTGCAAGTAAAATGCATGAATAGAATCTATGAAGGCTGTTTGAGAGACTTACAATGCTAGACATAATCCCTAATGTTAGAGGGAAATTGCTAGATAAGTGCACTAAGAATGATCCAAATACTTCTGCCTTTTAACCAACCATATACAATTTTACATTTTTAATAGCTTTATTCTGTCTAAAACTTTATTTTTGAGTAATGAAAACTTCTGTGTTGATCCCTAAGCTATATAAAGGCTAACAAAACCAAATGAAAGAATAAAACGATTTTTAGCACCCCCCCTTCGTCTGGAAGGCGTCTTTCTCAAAATTTCATGAAATTAATATACAATATGCTTGTTTTCCTTCCAGGTTTTCTATTTTATTTTGCTGGGAGAAATTAACTAGGTGTCTTGGATATCTAAACAGGAAACTTTTTGGAGAGCAAATCACCTCACCTGTAGAGACTGAAGGAAGAGCACCCAGGCTTCACACGGCAGTTCACTTTCAGACACCGAAAGCAGTAACTCAAAACAACTCCTATAACATAAAATACTGAAGTCAGTATATAAAGGTGGTTATAATGGTTATAAGCATAATCAAATACAGTAGGACAGTGATGCTGAATACACATTTTACATTTGTTTAGATTATCTGAAATTTGTTTCTCACTCTTCCAAATTTTCTTCAACATTGTTATATTGGCTTTTCAACTTTAAAAAACAGAAAAAAGAAAAACCAAGCACCTTTATAATAACATAGTGGCTTTAAAACTTGGTAATAATATATTCCTTTTAGAAACCATATTCCAAGCAGTTTTATTAGGGTGTGGGGAGGGCACCCAAATAGGAACCATTCTGATTCCCAAAGACAAAAATAGAAGCTAATGCTATTGTCAATTCGGCTGATAAAGAGATAAATATATGTAACTGTTACAGGAACAGAGGAAGCAGAAATATTGACAAGGCCATTTCTTTGGCTTTAACAAATCAAGACTACCCAGACTAGAAGTTATCGTCCCAAACAATCTGTAAGCTAAACCAATCTAAAAACCAAATAATTGTACCTTTTCAATTTGCAGATGAAAATTACATTAAAGGTGTAATTTTATCTGTTACTACACAGTTAAATATTCAAACAACAGCTAAATTATCATGGGCTCAGGGTTGTAATCTTAGACTATATCCTGATATTTTCTGCTAATAACATTATTCTTAGTTCAAATAATATAATCGAATTGCAGAATTTCATAGTATTTCCCCACAAAGTGATCCTCAGAGACCACTATAGTTTCCAGATACTGTCACTTAAATTGATCTATACCTAAGAACAGAAAGAAAATGTATCATTTTTGGATGCGAAGCCTGAGTAGAAGAGACTCTGGAGGCAATTAAAGATTATGTTGTTTGGCTGGAGCTTCACTTGTGCTTTATTTCCTGGGAACCAGAATACAAAGGCTCAGAGCAAAGGAAATTCCATTCAAAGGTATGACTTTAATGGTGCTCTGAATAACGTGATCTCATAGTAAAGAAAAACCAGGCACACATTACAAGCAGAAGCACTTAATTTAAACAGTGACTTCAGAACTTAAACTTACAGTACTAATCTGCCAAGCACTAACAGGACATCTTCGCATTCAGTAGTTAAATACGGGCGTGCGCTGGCAAAGCTTTGGATGGCAAGCCGATACACCTCCAGAAGATACACCATATGTTCTGAGGCATTCTTGTTGCTTGCGTACTGCAATAAGGTCTAAAAAATAAAATCAAGGTATTAATTATTTAAGAAATAAAGACAATGAAACAAACAGACTGTCTCTGTTCTCAAATGCACCGTACCTCCCCTTTTCTAACAAATGTACACAGTTTTTATCTGCCTTTTTAGCCTCTGATTTGTTTACAGGATTCTATTCTCTCTTTTTTAATGTCTGTTTATTTATTTTGAGGGAGAGAGAGTATGAGCAAGGGAGGGGCAGAGAGAGAGGGAGAGAAAGAGAATCTCAAACAGGCTCCGCGCTGTCAGTACAGCGCATGATGCAGGGCTCGAGTTTCATTAACACATTAAACTGAATACCAACCAGTACCAAGCAATGGGTATATGACAATAGGACTATGGTTTCGTCCTGCCTTCTACCAGACACCTATTCCTGAGTATGGCCCTCAGCTCTATAGCTCTATAAATTCCATTTTTCTCGGCACACACAGAACTTATTTGGCTTAATTTACACTAACCAATTTATGAAAGAATGATGTCATATTTTTATTTTCAATGAAGTTTATTTTTTAAAAGCTAACCTACAGGCCAAATGCCAAATTATTGGTTTATAATAGGAAATAGTGATATATTACCATCCAGAGAAATGCATTACCCATAGTGTGGTTATCTAAGAGCTTATCTAGTGAGTCTGAAATCTAAAACAAAGGAAAATGGAACTACAATCAAGCCTAATAAATTACATGTGTCCAACACAAAGAATGTGTTCAAATGATGGTGTAAAGCTGGCTTGTGTTCTCTCTGGACAATGCTGGAAAATCACTACAAAATTCTCGTTGGGGACTCTAGGTTCCACAGGGCTGCTCTCTCTTCTATTAATATATATCTTCCTCCCATCAACTGATTAGGTTTTGCTTATGCTCAACTGCTGTATCTAGTTAGGTTACCACCTGAATTATGCATAGGCAGGATACAAGTTTTTTCCCTTAGAATACACATTCTGACTGGATCAGTGTCTTATTTTCAGAGGGTAGCTTTTATTCTTGAGTGAATTATATATGATTTGCACTTATTACCCCCAGTATAGTTTCTTCAAAAAGTCCTAACTTCCTGTCTTCACTTTAATTTTTCTACCTTAAGAACCACAAATAGCTGCAGTAGCACTGCGAGATTCCACTGGATTTCCTGCAGTTTTACTTTCCAAAAAGGCCTTATGTCAGTTCTGATAATTAAAAACTGACTAGTCTTGAGTGCTTTAAAAAAAAAAACCTTACAAGGAAATACATCATAAACAATTATACCATATACAGTAAAACTCTTAGTACTAAAACACATTGGATTATCTGGTCTTTGCATGCCTGAATGATCAAGCCAGTTATTTTAGTATACCAATTCAAATTAAGTATCTTGCTTCTTCATCACAGTGTAGAGATGTGAGCTCCTTCTGTATTTTCAGATGAGCATTATGTCCTTATTTAATCAAATCCCAAATTTTAGGAGGGCCTGGGTGGCTCAGTCAGTTGAGCTTCCAACTTCAGCTTAGGTCATGATCTCACAGTTCATCAGGCTCTGTGCTGCTGACAACCTGGAGCCTGGAACTTGCTTCAGATTCTGTGTCTCCCTCTCTCTCCGCTCCTCCCCTGCTTGCTCTCTGTCTCTCTCTCTCGCTCAAAAATAAATAGACATTAAAAAATATATATTTAAAAGAAATCCCAAAGTTTAATAAAAGAAAAAACTTAGTAATATCAAAAGATCATAAAACTGACCCCATAACAATCCTTTCTGCAACTAAATGAGTACAGAGAAGGAAAGGAGAATATGTGCTTATCTGTTATGTAAATAAAAATTCTCTTTATCTCTTAAGAAATTTATTAAAACTTATGTTAGAAACAAAGTCTGTTTCAAGTCAACAAATTACTTACTTGTCTGTACTGGTTAATCTAAAACCAGAGAGCTTGATAAATTTATACTCAGTACCAGATTTTATGCTCCCTGAGGTTAGATATTATGTGTTATCAATCTTTAAAGGACTAACAATTCTCCACCCGCTCCTACTCCCATAGAACATTCTCAAGTCTCACTAAATGTTTGCTAATCCATTCACCATTTTATTCTCTGGACAAATATTTACTGATAGCCTACTCTAACCTACACCGCTAGGTGCTGGGAGGAAAAGACATGGGCGCCTATCCGCACGGAGCTTTCAGAATGAGTCAACAGGGTGACAGTTGAAACCACACATGCAAATTAACCAACTGCTGCCTACAGTATACAAAGAGAGGGGCTGAGTGCATACAGATGAGGTGGGTCTTTCCAGTCCACCTTCCCACTAAGAATGTTCCTGACACCAATCTAGTATCTTCTGATACAGACATTCCATGAAGACTTCCACAAGTTACGCAATTTCAAAGATTCAATACCCCATAGGTATTATGTTTATATCTTGCCCTATACTGATTTATACATTTTTATATTCCTAAATCTTTTCACCCTCATGTGTTAGTTCAATTAAATAGATTCCCTTAACATATCCACTATGATATACTCTGAATATTTGAAGAATCATTGAGACAATCTTTCTCACGACCACCTTTTTTAAAAAATTCAAGATTAAGGGGCGCCTTGGTGGCTCAGTCGGTTAAGTGTCCGACTTCGGCTCAGATCATGATCTCACGGTTCGTGGTTTCGAGCCCTGCGTCAGGCTCTGTGCTGACAGCTAGCTCAGAGCCTGGAGCCCGCTTCTGATTCTGTGTCTCCCTCTTTCTCTGACCCTCCCCTGCTCATGCTGTCTCTCTCTCTCAGAAAAAAAATTTTAAAAAACACATAAAAATTTTTAAAAACAATTCAAGATTAAGCTGAATGAATTACAGCCATCCAAATAATATTTTAAGTATTTCATGTAAACAAAATTCCATCAGAAGCAGTAAAGAAAAATAGGTCTTATTTCTCCTTAGAAATTTAAATTTTAGATACCAAGAAAACTGAAAGAGAAAGGAAAGATAAATAATAAATATCACTCCCTCAAGCTCATTAGGATTCTACAGAGACCAAATTAATGTCCCCTCTTTTTGTTTCAATAAACTCACTTATTCCACAAACACCTACTATGTGGCAATACTATGCTGAGTACTAAGGATGGAAATTCTACTCTTACCCTAAACAGCAAGGTATACTGAGAGGTCAGATACACGTGCACCTCTATAGGTGCCATCTTTGATGATTTTAAACATTCTTACTGGGGTGCTCTCATGCATATCCCAGGCAGATTACCTCTCAAGGCTTTGTTAAAAACCTCAACTGCCTATTAGACATTTCCATCTGAATGTCCTACTCAAATCTCAAACTCAACATGTCCAAAACAAACATCTTCCCCAGCAAATATGCTCTTCCTCCTATGTTCCATCTGCCTCTTTTCAGGAGCCAGAGCTAAAAAACTAAATCACCACCCCACAGTTTATTGATTCAACCACAGAAATACCTTTGTTTCCTGCCCCTTTGCTTTATCTCTATAGCCAGTGACCCTGCCTAGGCCCCCAACATAGTTTAATATGGACTCATCTGGACTTCTACAATAGTTTACTTCTCCAAGCTAAACACCCTCCAGTTCAGTATATGTGTTATAATCACAACATATATGTATATTTAAAAAACAGTAATAATAATGCATAGGGGAAAAAACTAGAAGGAACTCAACTAAAATGCTAATACGGTTAGCACTGGGATAGTAGTAGCATTAAAAACAATTTTTTTGTTGTTTTCATAATTTTCTGAACTTCCCAAATTTCTTTTTTAAGTTATTTTATTTTAGTTTTAAAGTTTATTTGAGAGACACAGTAGGAAAAGGGGAAGGGTAGAGAGAGAGTGAGAGAGAGAATCCCATGAGGGAAGAGGGGCTTGAACCCACGAAGCTGGTAGATAATGACCTGAGACAAAACCAAGAGTGGGATGCTTAACCAACTGAGCCACCCAGGTACCCCCAAGTTTCTTTTTCTTAAACCTTTTTTTTGTTTTTGTTTTTAATTTTTAGAGAGAGCACAGACGCAACCAGGGGAGAGGGGAGAAGAAAGAAGAACTTTAAGCGGCTCCATGCTCAGTGCAAAGCCCTGACTGGGGCTTAATCCCATGACGCTGGGATTGTGACCTAAGCTGAAATCAAGAGTTAGACACTCAACCAATTGAGTCACCCAGCCACCCCCAAATTTTCTTTAATGAACTATTATTACTATGTTTACAACGAAGGAGGAAAAAATCTCCCTTCATCTGAATCCTATTTATTTTCCTCACTACATGGTTTCAAAGAGATTGGCAGCATCCTATTTTCTGAAATTATCAAAAAGGGAGCATTTTCTTAAGTTTATTTATTTAAAATAACCTCTGCACCCAAGATAGTCAAACTCACGACTCTGAGATCAAGAGTCACATGCTCTTCCAAATATGCTAGCCAGATGCCCCAAAGAGCTTTACATGCTACGAACACAATTTACAACAGCCCATTATATTTTTTTTAAGTTTTTTATTTCTTTTAAGAGAGAGCGCATGTGTGCAAGTGGGGAAGGGGCAGAGAGAGAGAGAGGGAGACAGAACTGCAGGCAGTCTCTGCACCATCAGTGCAGAGCTTGATATGGGGCTCGAATTCACAAACCTTGAGATCATGATCTGAGCAGAAGTCAGACACTTAACCGACTTAGTCGCCCAGGTGCCCCTATCATCAGCCCATTTTATTTATTCTTCTTTAAGTTTTATTTCATTTTGGTTTAATTTTATTTACTGAAAGTCTGTGCATGTGGGATTGGGGTAGAGAGAGGTGGGGATATAGGATCTGTGCTGACAGCAGTGAGCCCGATGTGGGGCTCAAATTCATGAACTGCAAGATCATAATCTGAGCTGAAGTCATAAGCTTAACCAACTGAGCCACCCAGATGTCCTCAGCCCATTTTAAAACTGAAGAAACAAAAGGGTGCCTTGTTGACTCAGTCGATAGAGGGTGCAAGTCCTGATCTTGGGGCTCTTAAGTATGAGCCTCACGATGGGTACAGAGA